CGTCTGAAAAGCTTAGATTTCGTGATAAGCAGTTTTGAGCGAAGTAATTATTCTAGAGTCATAGTACATGTACCCCTGGATCCAAAAATATAAAGAACACCCAAAACGGAGTTGGTATGCAAAAGATCTGACCGTTTTAAGAAACCAAACTTGTATAACACCAGTTTTACCAATTTTTCTTAAGCTGTTTTAATTCGTCGAGGCACTTACTCATTGCCGATGTGGTTTTCGAGAACATTTTTGGACTCAGGAAACCAAACTTGTATAACACCAGTTTAATTTCATACACAAAATATTTTTAGCAAAAATATTTATGAAAATCAAAAACTCGAGCGTGACGGGTTATTTAGACATGGAACTTTAATGCGGTTTCCCGGAGTTCTATAACTCAACAAATTAATTCGTCTGAGTTTTTGGAATCTTTTATTTAAACTCTATCTATCGACACTTTTGAAAAAAAAAATCAACATTCAGACCTCGGTGCACCCGGTTATAGGTGTAATTGGGCATTTAATGAAGGTGTAATGTCATGTGCGGCCCATATTGACTTGGTAGAGAAAAAAAATTGATTTCATTATCTAAACCCATGTTTATTTAAAACACTTCTCTTAAATGTGTACACTTCACCTACAAGCACAAGTATGGGTTAAGAAGTATGATTGACTAGTTTCGTAGGTAGGGTGTTTAAGGTTGTGTGTATGACTCCACTCTATAAATAAAATTCTTTGGAGACATAATTGCTCACTCGATTCACAACTTCTACCTCTCCATCCATATTTCTCTCTATTTGATTTCTTGATGATCACCACAAAACACCAATTCACACGCTAAACCCACCATTGCACATCTCTTTGCCGAAAATTAGCTCAAACAGGAGGAAGAACCGAAGGCAAAACACCCTCGGAACCACCCCCTGCCACCCCACTTCTGCCAACCGCCACCTACCGCCATCTCCTTCTCCAACCAATAAAACACCACCATGCCTTCTCTAGCTTGAGGAAAGACTTCTCCACCCTTCCTCCACCATCCCCTGTCTTCGTCTTCACTGGAAACTTAAAGGATAACTGGCAGCAGGAGGCTGCCGGCCACCACCTATCGTCATCAAAGTCACCTGCAACCATCGTCTTCTGCCACCATTGTTGTGGTAAGCACCACCACCACATTTGTTTGATTTATGCTTGCTACCTTTTGTCGGTTCCGTCATGGCGAAAACAGTTGCATACTATCAAAACCGACTAGTTGAAGCATCACATGCATGACCTAACCTAAGAAAGCCACCATTACGTAGAAATCACAAAGCCGTACACGATCGCCTTATAGAAGATTATTTTGTAGATGATGCCGTCTATGCTGTAAAGTTTCGATGTCGGTTCCGGAAGAGGAAGGAACTATTCTTATGTATTGTTGGCGATTTGGAAGGCCACTTTCCATATTTCCAATGGAAAATGGATGCAAGGGGAAAAAAGGTTTCTCTCCCATTCAAAAATGCATGGCTTCAATTTGTTAGCTAGCATACCGCATGGGCGCAGACAAATGGGATGAGTATTTTAGGATGTCAGAGCGTACCTTGCAAGAGTCTGTGTATAAGTTCTGCAAAGTGATCTGTTTGGTTTATGGGCAATGATATTTGCGCAAACCAACTATCAACGATATCCACCAATTGTATACGATGCATGAAGGCAAACATGGATTCCCTGGAATGCTAGGTAGTATCGATTGCATGCATTGGAGTTGGTCATTATGCCCCAACGCATGGCGTGGTCAGTACATGTGAGGCGACCACAAAGAGTCGACGATCATTCTAGAGGTTATCGCATTACATGATCTTTGGATATGGCATGCATTCTTTGGTCCAACTTGTGCAAACAATGACATCAATGGGCTAGACCAATCGCCTGTATTCAATGATATCTACCTTGGAAAGTTACATGATGTACTTTTTCAAGCAAATGAGGTAGCATATAAGAGTGGATACTAGCTTACTGACGGTATATATCATCCATTATCTGTTTTTGTGAAATCGTTTACACATCCTAACGACCCAAGAAGGAAAAAGTTTAAAGAGGCGCAAGTGTCAGCTAGGAAGGATGTGGAGCGAGCATATGGTGTACTTAAGAGACGTTGGCAAGTACTAACGGTCAGGGGAAGGTCATATGAGGTGAAAAGGTTACAACACGTAATGTACGCATGTATCATATTGCATAATATGATTCTTGAAGACGAAGGAAGAGCGATATGTCGATACAACAAAAATGAAGTTTTACCAAATGTCGAAGGAGTAGCCGTTGGTACACAAGAGTATAGGGGGAATAGAAGAGAAGTACACAATCGCGACATTCATTAGGCCCTTCGTGCTGATTTGGTGGAGCACATTTATAGGGCTCATATTCAGCCCCCGTACGAGTTATCTCACGATGATTTGTTTGACGAATCAGATGAGGATTCTAATATGTTCGTCAAGAGTGAAGATTCCGACAACGAGAGTGACGCTGGGGAGAATGATGCAGATGATCAAGGCGATGATGAAGACGATGATTCCGAGTGATGTATCTTGGTTTAAATAAAATTAGGATATTAATTAACAACTTTTACTATGTTGTAGGTTGTTTGATTTTTTTTTTTTTTTTTTTTTTTTTTGCGGTTTTTTTACTTATTTAAATATTAGGGTTAATGTAATTTTTATTTTACTTAATGAAATGCTTTTTATTTTATTTAAATTTTATGTTTAATATTAATTTAAAAATTATAAATATATATATATATATATATATATATATATATATATATATATATATATATATATATATATATATATATATTATTTCATATAAAAAAAAGTGAGTAAAGGGCTTCCAACCCATTTCTTGGTTTTTAGGTGAGGGAAAAGAGAGTGGGGAAACAGGGGTATGACACACCAAAAGTATAGGAAGCTTCCCTCCCACTCTTTCCAATCTTATGAAACTGGAACAAAAGAAAGCAAACGTGCATTTCAAATAAATAATTCTTACGCAACTCTCAAAAATCTTTTCAAAGTTAGTCCTAAACCAATGAAACATCAATTAAAATGTTCAAAATGCACCCTTGTGTGGAAAAGTCTGTTCAAATAAATCCAAGGCTTTAATACAAAAAAAATTATAAAATAATTTTTTTAACTAATGTTAATTTATTTTACATTAAATTAACTTCAGATTAAATAAAATTTGGAAAAATATTATATTAAATTTTTGGATAAAAAATTATTTAAATAAATAATTATTCTTATATATATTAAAGGAGGATAGTTTTTAGGAATAGTGAACATCCTGATTTTTTTGGCAAAAATAACCCATAAGTTTTCATATTTGTAGTTGTTCAGATTTTTTGCACTAAAATTTGATATATTGGCAATTTGGTCCTTTAAATTATTAACAGTCATATAAAGATAAGAAGATAGGGTCCCCCACCGGTTCCATCTTATCTTCAAACCCCCCACCCCCCACCCGGTTTCTCATCCACTCATTTTCTAGGTTATCTAATCTGATTTCCACCCTTCTATTCTTTGGCTCCACCCATTTCTTTTGTTTTGATTGGCCAAGAGGGAAGACGAACACAACACAAAAGTTAGGGAAAAGAGAAATCGGGGGTAAACCATGGTTTAACCGGTTCATCGATCTTTTGCATCACCGATTGAGAACCGTCAACGCCACCGTCTGAGTTCCTCGGGTTACTTTACTTATGAATTTGGTTAACTTCTTAAACCGCACATCACTTGATGCGGCTTCTGGTCATAAATCAGATGAGTGTTTATATTGTTTGTTCTGCAACCATTGATTCTTGATTTTAATGATTTTTGTTTGGTCGTCGGGTTATTATCAAAGCTCAATCGGATCAGAAGATGCGAAATGTTGAGGAAAAGTGAGAATCGGAAGAAATTGTAGCAAGTTGGTAAGTATCTAGATCTTTTATGCCCTGTTTCTTCTACCCACAAAATCGTTACCTCCAGATATATTTATATTGTTTGTTCTGCAACCACTGATTCTTGATTTTAATGGTTTTCATTTGGTCGTCGGGTTATTATCGGAGTTCAATCGGATAAGGAGATGCCGAATGTTGAGGAAAAGTGAGAATCGGAAGAAACTGTAGCAAGTTGGTAACTATTTAGATGCTTTGACTTTGAAATGGAAGTTTTTTGCCTTTGCTTGAAGGTTGATTCTCCATAGTTGTTGCTCTGCCATCATTCCAAGCATTGAGATGGCATAGCTTACGAGGGGATATTTCGATGTTATAAACTCAACCTTTTATTCATTTAGTAATCTTTCTTTCACCTTCTTCTTTATCGGACCGATTATTTTCGCCTTCCTGCTTTATATGAACGGTGACCCCCTCGATCGTCTCCGATTGACCCCTCAATCGGCACGCGACCACCATCATAAGCCAGGTGACCCCTCAATCGTCTCCGGTTTACACATGTTCTATTTTAGGGCTTTTGAAGAGGAACCCGGGTAAGCGAATCCCCCCTCTCTCCGCCGTATGCCGTCGACTCCATGTGAAGCCTTGGCCCGGTGACCTTCGTACCCATGGTTACAGGTTCGTATGTCTGCAACTTTTTTATGCTTTCGTTTTGTTAGACGATGAAACAACTGCTCAAACTTAATAGAAAGGTTTGAAGTTCTTCAAAGAGCTCTGATCGTTATACCAAATCTACAAATCGGCTTTCTCTTGACTTCTTCTTCAACACTGTTATTTATAAACCCCTGGTAAACTGATTCGTTGTTTTGCTATCTTGAACCCAGGTGTCCTTCTTGAATCTGTAGGTGCCCTTCAGCCTCACCATTTTCTTCACTGTTTCTCTATAAAAAATCGTCGTCTTCATGGGATGCCAATTATTTGGGTCCGGCTAAAACTGTTCAGATCACCGACATCACCTTCCAATTAGGTATCACTGTTCTTAACTACCTTTCTTTCTCCTCTTCATTTCCTAGCGTCATAGCATGAAGGTTCTGAATTTCCGATCGATTTGTAAACAAAGGGAAATGGAATCGAAAGATCATTTGAACAAGTTCAAAGTCGGCTCAGTTCCGATGTTGTACTACATACTCGACTTCATCTCCGATTCTGATAAAAAACTACTCCTAAATCAGGTATGTAATCTAATAACACATCTTTTGTTTTCTATCTTCTCTCCTTTTTGTTGTTCTTTGGGGTATTCGACAACAGTGTGATTTCTCACATCGAAATTGAGAACATTGGTGTAGTTGGGTAACTCTTATTCTCAAATTGAAACGAGGTTTTATATTTTGATTTTATAGATTTACACAGCTCTGGTTTCAAAATGGAAGTCTCTGAAAAACAGAAGATAGAAAATTTAGGGTATAGCATTGTTGTTATCTACGAACTTGTCAATTTGGAGGTTAAAATATATGTTGGTTATGATGGGATTTTTATTTTGTTTTCGTGTGATGTTTGTTACAGGAGGGATTGTCCATGAAAAAGGTCCTTTGCCTCAAGATTGTAAGCCCTAATCCTTCTCTCTTATCAATATCATTTCGGGATTAAGATATATTATACCTTATTGTCATAAAACTTAATTATTGAATTTTATATGTAACGATTTCATTTGATTTAATAAGATCAAGTTAATGAGTAATCATAGTTCATCTCTCTCTCTCTCTCTCTCTCTCTCTCTCTCTCTCTCTCTCTTTTCTCTGTGTAGTACCACCATTGTTGACAAAAATTATAGAAAAATCAAGGAGGAGTTGTGTTTGTTTCCTTCTGTAATCAATCATGTCCTCATTAATGAGTATCTTCCAAATCAAGGCATAATGGTTTGTACTGCGACTAAATCGATAAAAATTAGTATTTCGCGCTTACCCTTTTTTACTTTCCCATTTATTAACAATTTTTTAGGTGAAAACATAGCCCCACCAAGATGGGCCCGCATATTTTCCGATGGTGGCTATTCTTTCATTAGGATCACCTGTTGTCGTGGACTTCACTCCTCATTCAACTTTAGCAGACACTACAAGCAACATTCAAGAAACTAGTCATGGGAATTTACAAAACTACCCTCCTTTCTCTATTGCACTGATGCCACGCAGTTTATTGGTATTCAAAGATACAACATACTCAGGTGAGCCTATTTTTAAATGCTTTTCTTAATAGCCTCTGTAATTTCTGTTGTATATTATGGAACCTGATGTGTTCATTTACTTTTCTTTCCAGGTCATGGGTGTACTTGGATACCAGTTATAGAGAATTTTACAGTTCACCATGTCTATCGCTATCACCTCCATGAGACAGACTCAATTTTATCATCTGTCTTATTGTGTTCTTTTCATTTAAATCTATCTGCTATAAAATTCATGATTTGTAGGATTTAAAGAATTTTAATGGGTTTCAAAAAAAGAATATCTCAATTACAAAAAATAGATGGTGGTTAAAGGTATGTATAGTCTCTTAACATAGGATTCATATAAATATGATGTCTTTTGCCCTTATTCAAGTTTTGGGTTTGATGTATAGTTCAAATTCCTCATTTACTGTCTTTCACAAGGTGACTCAGATGGAGCTTACCAGGGTGTTATAAGGCTATTTTTGTCAAATGAAGATGAAATACATCTAACGATGCAAGGTAACACCAACTCCTTCGTCAAGCCCCAACACTATCTATTTAAAAAAAAACTTCTATTTTTTCCATTTGCTACTTTTTTGTGTTATTAATTTTAGTTGTGTGATTTGTCTATGTGATGTTTGTTATAACAATTTTGCAGATTTGTTTTAAAAAATGACGACCTTGATTGAACTATTATGTGGGTGTTTGGTAAAATGCTTGAATGGTATTTCAAATATGCACCAGCTTATTGACATACCTGTGAAAATTTGTCCATTTTTGTTGATTATAATAGGTAATGGAATTCCTTAGCCATGTCAACAGTAGACTGAAACAACAACAAATTAGTAGGTTTTCCTTTGGAAGTGTTAATGAGGTTGTTGCTTCAGCAGCAATCGAAATAACATGAGCCGTTTGCATCTGGTCAAGCTCTGGTATCACAATCTCTACCACCTTCAATACCAAATGTAGAAAAAGTTATATATTTAATAAATACAAAATAATTGAGACGAATTTTCAATATTTTATCCTAAATTATAGCCGTAAAATTTTTACCAAGTCTTTAGTGCTTAAACTTTTTAAAAATTCAATCTTATGTGATTGACCACAATGAAGCTTCTCAAAAGCATAATCACGAAATAAGGACGGAAAGTTGATGTTATTATTAAAAAAAATATTGATAGTTATAACATGTTTACTTTTTTACCGTTCAACTATTTTCATCATTTGTTTCTTAACATTAAACATTACCTGATGTGTATTTGTTTTTTGTTTGTTGACAGATTTGATGACATAATGAAGTATAAACAAACATGGAATACAAGGTGCACATTGACATCAGAAGGAAAAGAGAGCATGAAGGAAGTAATGTAGCTTATGTCTCTTCAATATCACCCTGCAACTGGTGGAAATAGAAACAGAAGTAGAAGCAGAAGCCGAGAATGTGGATGACTTGCCTGCATTTTGGATAGCATGTCCTTACTGTTTCTACATGTATAAGTATCAAAGGGTCTATGCAGAGTGCACTATTTAACCAGATGGGGAGGGTTAAACCCCAATGTTGAATCCAATTATTGACCACCTGATTGATCAAATAAACAAATAACTGATCAAATAACATTTACAAAGAACAAACAACGGAAAAAACTGTAGCATCCGATAATGGAAAAAACTTTAGCATCCGACAACGGAAAAAACTGTAGCATCCGACCCCCGCAACGCGG